TGGACACCATTTATAGCCCTGTGACTGCTGCAGTGGTTCTCAACTTCTGGCCCTTTAAATACAGTTCCTCATGTTGTGACCCAACCATAAAATTATTTTCGTTGCTACTTCATAACTGTAATGTTGCTACTGTTATGAATCATAATGTAAATATCTGATATGCAGGATGGTCTTAGGCGACCCCTGTGAAAGGGTCGTTCGACCGCCAAATGGGTCGCGACCCACAGGTTGAGGCACATAAACGGTAGGTACAGCTGTTTTCAATATGTCTGACCAGGTTGTGGTTCTTTGGGAGCTGTTTCAGAAGCTAACCTGTGGGCATATGGAATCAGGAGTGTGTTTGCTAAAAATCTGGTATGGCTTTTATATGCTTTGCTGTTATATGGAAAAGGACTCATCTAAACCTTTAGAGGGATGTGTGAGTAACAGTAGTAGACGATAAAAAGATTCAGGGTCCCATGTTTTATTTGCTGGAGGCCCTTGCAGCTCTCTCCTATGAAGTATTTCAAATGGTTCTTTACTAGAACTTTTTGTTTCCAGGTAATAACTTCTTGTACAATATTTCCATTAACAGCAATAAAATCTTAGCCAGAATTTACCTCAGTTCTGAGCTTTTGATACTCTGAATGGGATTTTAAGGAGAAGCTGTAAAAAAATTGAAAATACATATATCCCTCAGGGTATGTCTGCTTGTACTGTGCTCTTTATATTAATTACAAAATCGTAAGCCTTTAAAAAAGTAATATAAGCATATGGTAAAGCAAAATTTAAATGGTAGTAAAAAGATAGAAAATAAGAAATAATGGCTCCCTTCTCATCTCACATCCCAACCTAAACCCCAGTTTCTGTCTGCAAATGTTAACAGTTTTATGACTTTCTCTAAAAAGTATTGTGCATGTGCCTGCATGTGTTATGTATATGCTTTTACATAAAGTATACACAAATGAGATCATACTAAACACACTGTTTTGCATTTTTGTTTCCTTCAAAAATTATTGTGGAGTTCTTGCCATACCCACACACACAGACCTATCTCATTGTTTTTAGGGCCCACTGCATAGACATCCACTATGACAATTTGCTTAAGCAATCCTCTACTGATGAACATTCAGGTTGTTTTAGTTTTTCTACATTTTAAAAAAAATATTCAGAGAATATCTTGTTACAAATACTTTCGTATATTTAGAGAAGGTTATTACTCAAGTAGTTTCCTAGAAGTACAATTCCTGGGTACTTTATATATAGGCACATAAAGTTTTAACAATATAATCACTGCCCTCCAATATGATTGAATCAGTTTATATTCCCACCAACAATGTTATGGGTGCTTGCTTCATATACCTGTCAATTCTGGCAGCATTAAATCTTTTAAAACATTTGCCAATCTAGTGGATCAAGAATATATCATTGTGGTTTTGATTTGCATTTCTTAAATTATAAGCAAGGTAGAGCATCTTTTAATTTACTTATGGAATATTTGTACTTGTTTCTCTGTGAATTGCCTATTTATCATTTCTTGCCTTTCTTTTGATGTTGCCTTTTTCTACTTTTGTGTTCATCAAATAGCAAGTTCCTACTACCTGATGAGCACTGTGCTGGGACTAGAGCTCTAACAGTGAGGAAGCACCACTGCCTTTGCCCTTTTGGAGCTTAGGGTGTACTGGGAGACAGATATTCATTAGAGCAAGTGAGAGAAGAGACAGGCTTGGGCTGGGAGTGGGAGAAGACTGCTGAGGAGCTGGCAGCTAAAGAACAAATAGGAGAAATATGATTTCACTTATATGCAGGATCTAATGAACAAAATAAACAAAATAGAAACAGACTCATAGATACAGAGGGAAGGAGGGTTGGAGGACTGGGTAAAAAATGTGAAGGGATTAAACAAAAACAAACAAACAAACAAAAAATACTCATAGACACAGACAATAGTATTGTGATTACCAGAGGGAAGGAGGTGAGGGGAAGGGTTAAGAGGGGATAAATGGTGATGGAAGGAGACTTGGCATGGAATGGTGAAGACACAATACAATATATAGATGACACATTATAGAATTGTACCCCCGAAACCTATAATAATTTTATTAACCAATGTCACCCCAGCAAATTCAATTAAAAAATAATAAAGGGAAAAAAAGAACAAATGGGACTGGAGGCTCAGGGAAGTATGTCTGGAAGAAGGCACAGCATTTTGGAGGGAATATGATGTGTCAGATGAGCTAAAAGAAGGCCAGAGAGCAGAGCACAGAGAAGATAGTGATACAAGATGAGGATGGACCACATCACCTATGGCCCTGGCCTCATTAATGATTGGGGGTTTTCCCTAGAGAAAGAGAAAGCCATTGAAGGATTTTGAGCTGTAGTTGGTGACCAAATCTGAACTCTGAAAAGATCACTCTTGCTGAAAAGAAGGGAAACAGACTAAGCTGAAGGTTTTTGAGTTAGTGCAGATAAGCTCTGATAGTAGCTTGGCACTTGATTATGGTGATGGACAAGGAGAGAAGCAGATGGGTTCAAGAAATATGGAGGAGGACAAATAAAATATGATGATGGATGGATGGATAGAGGTGACAAGGAAGGGAGGAAATGTCCAGGATGGTTCCTAGGTTTCTAATTAGATGGTGGTACCATTTACTGAAACTAGAAACACTGGTAGATTTAGGGATGAGTTCAGTCTTAGACAACACATCTGAGTGAAGCTGTCAAGTAGGCAATTAGATACAGAAGTCTGGGAGCAGAGGAAAAGTCTGGATTGGAAACATAAATTTAAAAGTCACTGCACACAGTAATTAAAGCCATGGACGTGGGTACAATGGCCCATGAATCCCTGAAGAATGCTAATACTTAATAGCCCAGTAGAGAAAGATGAAACAGAGAGGAAAAGCAGAAGCCTGAGAGCAGGTAGAAAGCAAGCCAAGTGTGGTGTCCCAGAAACCAGTGAGTGTTTCAAATAGGATGGAATGGTCAATAGTGCCAAACGCTGCTGAGATGTCTAGTAAGAGGCGGCCTGAAAAGTTCCCGTTGGATTTAGCAACATGACAGCTTTGGTGACATTAATATGAATTGTTTCAGTGGAATAATGGGGGCAGAGGTCAAACAGGAAATGATTGAGGAATGAATGGGAAATGAGGACATGGAATCACTATATGGCCCACTCTCGAGAAGTGTGGTTTTTGATAGAAAACAGCCCAAACCTATTCTTCCTCAGTGTCTATTCTTGACCCTTCTTTGCCACTCAATAAGCTGAATTGATTTTATAATTCAATGTTCCATAGCTGTGGTCTCTCAGTAGCCATGGCAACAAGGGGCAGAGTCTTAAAAATTGGAGGTTCTTTCATCCTTGGAGCAGCCTCCATTACAGAATCACTACTGAAACCAAGGTTAAGAAACAAAGAGCCCTGCCCTAGGCAGTTTGGCTCAGTGGATAGAGTGTTGGCCTGCAGACTGCAGGGTTCCGGGTTCGATTCTGGTCAAGGGCACATGCCTGGGTTGCCAGCTCAATCCCCGGTAGGGGGCGTGCAGGAGACAGCCAGTCAATGAGTCGCTCTCATCATTGATATTTCTATCTCTCTCTCCCTCTCCCTTCCTCTCTGAAAGCAATAAAAATATATCTTAAAAAAAACAGGAAAAAAAAGAAACAAAGAGTCCTTTGTTTTAGAGACACCTACTGAAAAACAAGTAAAAATGGAGTCTGGGGTTTGCAAAGTGAAATAAGATAAGCCATGACTTGATCATTGTTGAAGCTGGGCAGTGGGTACCTGGATGTTTATTATATTGTTCTCAATTCTTGTGTTTACATATACAGTTTCCACAATGCGTTGTAAAACATTACATTTAGGAACTCTTTAAGATGAAAGTTCGAAGAGCCCAGGACCCACTGTTTACATGGCACTTACAAAGGATCTCCTTCAATCTGCCATTGGCTTGTGGGCTTCAAGGTGCCACATGTCTAAGGAAACAGTCTGCTCTCGTGTGCTGTCCCTTCTTCTCTCGTTAACCCTGACTCCTGCTTCTTTCCTCTCTTCCTTTCTTACCTCCCTGGTGAGTGTGGACTTCAAATCACAGTTCCATCACTTACCATCTCCGTGAACTTGAACGAGGTCCCTCTGGTCTGTGAACCAAGTCTCTAAATGATCGGGTTATGCATCTGCTTAGCAATGTTTCGAGGATTAGTTTTGACAGTGTATGTGGAAGTATCTAACGTAGCTCACAGAACTCAGGGGGGTAACAGAAATAAATGAAGCTGACCTGGCAGGAGACAATCTTGTGATACTGCTTGGCCTTTCTTTAGCTTTGCCACTTTTAGGAGGCATACAAGTAGAAAAATTATGTGAAAAATTCATTCCATAAGAAACATTGCACTGCAAGCATGATCACAAGTGGAATACATAATTCATATTCATTAATAAATGGGAAATAAACTAAGACTTCACCTAAGTGGCGGGAATTAGGGCAAACCAGAGCATGCAGGCTCCATCAAAAAGGGGCAGTCCTCCATAGCGCTAACCGATCGCTGCCTCGAGGGAATGCGGCCAATGTTAACATGTCTTCTTGTTTTACAAGACAAGCTAATACTCTAAATTTTTCATGTGAAATCTCCCAATTCTTAAATTTAAGTTAAATTACATTAAAAAATAATAATAATACGAAGGCACGAAGGCCAAATTAAGCCCATCTGCAGGCCAAAACCAGCTACTGAGCTGCCAATGTGCAACCTCTCACCTTGATAATGGGATATAATAATTTCCCCTCACCTAACCACTCTTGCCCTTCATTTCTACGGTAGAAGAGATCGAAGTGGGTTGAAGAAGTGATGAAGCCCAAAGGGATGTGATCTAGACACCTCATCCTGCCCCAAGGCCTAGGTCAGTGCCTGGCACATAGTGGATCCTGATGAAAAACGTAATGAATCAATAAGTCAGTAACGGGGGGTAGGGGGGCCAGTTCAGGTTTTTGTGCATACCCTGGGCTTACCTGAGAAACTGTGTCATTTCTCTCGACAGCCTTGCGAAGTCGTTCTGGCCGCTCCATCATCAACGGGAACTGGGCAATTGACCGGCCTGGAAAATACGAGGGTGGAGGGACGATGTTCACCTACAAGCGTCCAAATGAGATTTCGAGCACTGCTGGAGAGTCCTTTCTGGCTGAAGGTCCCACTAACGAGATCTTGGATGTTTATGTGAGTTTGTATGTTTCTGGGCTGTTCTCTGGATTGTTTATCTTGTTGCTTCTAAGGGCCACACTTAGAACAAAAAGCAACAAACCGTTGCCCATGCTCAATATGACCATCTGAGCGGAGTCCTTGGAGGTGCCCTTACATCTTGGCCTTCATCTTCACCATTCACCCTGAATGTGCCCAGCTCACAGAAACCTTAAACTCTACCAGATGCTTAGAACCCTCAGAGTTTATTGACCCAGTAAAACCAATTTTACTTGTTGAACCAAATCAGAGGCAAAACATATCCTTTATTTCATGAGCATTGGATCTCCTCCAGGCACTTTCCTCCTAATGCTAATTTGGCATGTTTTCTTTTTATGGCAAAAGAAAGCAAATGCCTAAAGCAAGACAAGACCGCTCACAGTTCCCAGCCCTCTTCAAATTCTGTTAAAGCAAATGAAGACAGGAGAACTCCAGCGTGCTCCAGGTGACCCAATAAAGCACAGAGTAGCAATACAGAGGTTTACTAGGCATTCCCTGCTTCACAGGGAACTTAAGCTTACTTAACAAGAAAATCAATTATTAAGTTACACAAGTTAAAAATGGTCCTTGTTTTTTAAGAAACACTAGAATCCAGTCTTCTTTAAAACATCAGGAAATAAAAGGTGACATAAATAAAAGCTTGACATTGGGTTTTATGATAAAAAGAAGGAGCTTGCTTATAGATATGCATTCTCTTACAACCTCCAAAACCAGTACACGATGTGTGCTTTGTTAGGGTTTTATATATATTACTTCTCCACATTTACATGTTTGTTCCTCTTGGGCCTAGTGGCTCATGGACTGGAAACAATAAAGAAAGCCTTGTTATAGTTAATTTTCGATATTCTTTTACATTGTCCAATGGGTTGTTGGACTCTGGGTAGGTTTAGAATGGCATCAGGGATAAAAAGCCAGATTGTTAAAGGACCACTGTGGGTGGTCTAGGATGTGGTGGCCAACAATAATTTTCTAAATGGGACAAGGTTTGTACTGGCAGGACGCTCACGCAGCTCAAGAGGCGCGGACGAGGGAGAGAGGATTTCCGGCCACAAACCAATTGTCGAATTGTGTGAAAGGAGAAGTAGGTGAGGGATGAGGGGTAAACCGCAGGAACCTGAGGTCATAACACTGTCTCTCGGGGCTCTGTGTGCACCTCCATGGTTTCTGAGTGTATGAAGTCCACCGGGTGATTTATAAAAGGGAGGCCTCGTTTCACATGCAGGGAAGACATAAGAGTTAAAGGCATAAATGGACATAATAGACATGTTCAGGAACCAAACTGCTTGAAGCTGAAAAGACTTGAGATCATCTGTGATTCCAACTTCTTCTCCAGATGAAGAAATAAAAAACTGAGATTAAGGGACTTGATCTAGATTACACAGCTGGTCAACAAGAGAGCCGCTGTATGAAGCAATAGAGACAGAAATACCAGGATGTGGAGTGTCTCCTTGCCTGACTCAATTTACTCAGTAAATCCTCGTTCCGCTGGTGAACTGAGCCCGCCACCCTGCTGCCCACCAGGAAAGCCATGGGTGTTTGTGCTCCAGAACCAATAGAGAGGGGTTCATTCTGCTGGGCCATGCTGATTTATTTTTTCTTTTGCCCCAGAGAAGTCTCATTGCTGACCTCCACAGCCCTATGCAGCTTCCTGCTTGCTGTTCTACTTTTGTCATCAGTTCCTAAGACAACAGGACCTAGGGACAGTTACTTCCCTTAGACCTGTTTTCCTGACCCCATGTCTTTGTGGTCTGGAGCTTTCTATGGATGAGAAGTGGAGGAACCCAAGAGTCAAAGAGGAAGAGGGTGGGGGCAGGCCTTTCCTGAGCCAGCCTCACTGGCCACGTAGAAAATGTTGAAAGAACCTAAGGATCCGGCTGGCTCTGCCAGAGGTGGGCCCTTTGCTCGACTCTCTCGCCACCTAGTGTTCAAACAGGTTCTGTGTAGTGTCAACAGTATCTGCCTGGACACTGAGAGCACTAAGCAAAATCTAAGCCCTGGTATAGGATGGTTGGGAGCCAACAAAAAAGTTCCAATCATTGCTCCCATCTTCCTATTTGGAATTTATAAAATGTTCACTTTCAGCCTAGTTTTCTTTTAAGTTTTTCCTTCTTCTAAAGCAAATAACAAAAAGCCATCTGGAAATAGCTTTCATAGCTATTTGTTTAATCTGTCATAGGTTCACTAATATTATTAGATGTGAATCAATCCCCTCATTTATAGATCCTGTAACTTATTCCACTGAACCCAAAGCCAGGGGGACATGGATGTGCGTGCCAGCCCAGTGACACTGACTTTTGTGTTGTCAGATGATACACCAGCAGCCTAACCCAGGAGTCCACTATGAGTACGTTATCATGGGGACCAATGCCATCAGCCCACAGGTGCCACCTCACAGGAGACCAGGTAAAATCCCTTGTTTTGCTGCCAAGCACTCAGGTCATTTCTCTTTATTTATTTTTATTTTTATTTTCAGTTCAAACTCATTTCCTTTTTATTAAAGTTCAAGTTACCATTACATGGTTTGGTACTCAGTAAAGGAAAACTTGTCCAAATAAGGTAATATGTTATCATCAGTATTTCCAGGTAATTGTTTACACTCAAGTAGTATCATCAATAAATCCTTGGGAAGCCCATTGCTAGGGTTTATACTTTGTCAAGGCCCAGTTCCTCTGGAGTGGAGATTCCCAGTTCATTTAACGTTGGTCTAAGTTCTTGGATGACATAAGGGTAGGTTTTCTTATGCGGTCATGCTTTGTCCTTAACAACCTCTGGGATGCGAACAGCACTAGCAAAATCATTTAACTGTCTGCATGCCTGCAAAGCAGTACCGATGATTTTGGGTTCTGGAACCAGATCATAGCCAACAAGCGTGTTCATCCCTTTACGCAATTCCCAGACATCAATACCTGGCTTGTTGAAGTATGTCACCCAGGGAGCATCAAATTCCTCATCTGTCTCATGTGACCCATGGGAGTATTAGCCAACTGATAGCCCCGGGGACAGGACAGGAGCCGGGCAGGGTGCAGGAGGGCTCAGTGGAGAGGGGCACCTGGCATACCAAGACAGGGGGATGCAGGCTAAGGCTGACAGTTGGGACATTTCCTTTTAAAGCCCCTTTCCTCTTCTTCTTGTGCAGCTACCCTCTGTCTCTAACTCAGCACAGAGAAAACCCAGGGACACATACTTCAGAGTCAGTGGCCCAGATGTCGCCAATTTTCTGAGCCTTTGCTGATTCAAAAACAAGTGAACATCCTGGGTCTTTTTCTCCAGGTCCTCATTTTGAAATGCCTTATACTGGTTTCTTATTGTTGCCATAATAAATTGCCTCAAGCTTAGTGGCTCAAAACAACAGATTTACTCCTTTACTGTTCTAACAGTCAGAAGGCCAACATAGGTTTGTTGGGCCAAAATCAACATATCATTGCCATGTCCCCTCCGAGGCTGTAGGAGAGAGTGTTTCCTTGCCTCTTTCCAGAGGCCGCTTGCTTTCCTTGGTTCACGGCCCCTTCCTCCATCTTCCAGGCCAGCTGAGTAGCCCTTCACATCTCTTTCTGGCTCTTACCCTCTGCTTCCGTCATCACATCTTTCCCTGACACTCACCCTCCTGCCTCTTTCTTATAAGGACCCTTATTGTGGCCACCCAGATAACCAGGATAATCTCTCCATCTCAAAATCTCAATCACATCTCCAAAGTCCCTTTTGCCATGTAAGGTGACATATTTCAGGCTCCAGGGATTGAGACACAGACATCTTCTGAGGGCCACTGGTCTGTCTGCCAGTGCCTTTCCTATTGGCCCCCTTTTGCTTCTGTTAACATACATTGACCTATCAGAAAAGAATACTGAATTCACACCTAGCAACCTGCCTCTTCCCTGGGGCTCTGCTGATGGACAGGGCAGGCAGCTTTTGCTTAGGAATGGCACACACTCGGGCTCTGCAGATGTTTCTTTACCAAGTGCTGCTGGAGCCCACCACCTGAAGGGAGACTGTCTTTTCCATCTTTCAAACAGGAAGGTCTGCAGAAATATTTATGATGATAGTTGCTCACATGCACTGGGTCCTTGCTGTGTGCTGGACACTGCTGATCCCTTCACATAAATTAGTCATCCAATTTTCACCATAGTGCTCAGAGGAAAGTACTGTTATCAGCCTCATTTTAAAAGTAAGGAACTGAAAGCTTAGAGAGATTAGGTTCTTACCCAGATCCCACAGTGACCTCAGGCCAGTCTGTGTGACTAGCCCTGTGCTTGTTATACTGCCTAGAGGCTACCTGGTCCAATGCCTGTCCTACAGAGTGAGGGGACAGGTGCGAGACCTGGCACATCCATCCTTTTCTGGGCTGCCGATCAGATAATAAGGTTACCTGATGCCACTGGCCACTGGGAAACAACAGCCTGGAGTGTGTCAGACACATAGGGCCCAAGTGTTGTTCAAACTCCAAGTTAGCATAGCCAACCTGACAGAATTTTTAAACCATTTCCAGGAGCAATACACAGTCTGAGAACCAAGTCCAGGTGGCAAACTATTAATGCTGACTTACAAGGGCAATTGGACAGACTACTTGAAATCATATAGGATATTGATCATTGATAACAAGTTTAATGGGTTTCACCTAACACGTAGCATGGAGTTCTGGGATCCGTGGCCTGGGACAGGGTGGGCCCAGAAGGGGTCATTTGTAAAAAGTTGGTGAGGAAGGGCATTCTGGACCAGGTTTCATCCTCCATATCAGCTGAGTCAGGAGGACAGAGCCTGAATCCAACTCTGCCACTTTCCTGCTGTGCATCCTCCGGCAAGTCAGTAACTTCTCTGAACACATTTCCTGTCTAAAAGCAGAGAGGGAAAAAATACACTCAAAAGTTTTGTTTTGAGGGGGGCAGCAGGGAGGGAATTTAATAAATTAGGCATCAATCCTTGTGCCCAGTACATACAAAGTACTCAAAAGTGTTTTTTGCTGATAACATCTTGGACAGTCTCATTTATATCAATATGCCTGGTTTTGACTCTGTTATTTTAATTTGCATGTCATATTTTAAACCACAAAGTATTGTAAGTAGCCAACTAGATAAAAATGTGCTGGTGAAGAGACAAAGAAAGCCCTATGTTTTAACTTGCTTTGACAGTAACTGTTGAATTTGCCTCCTTATTTTGTAATAAACTAATATGTGCTTGGATAAATGTTGCCAAATTGCTCTCCAAAATTTGCATCTTATTTGCAGACTCTTTTACAGTGTATGAGAACATGTTTTCAGGAACCTTCAGCAAGGAGTGTAGGGATTAAGGGTTTCCAAGGTCTCTAATCTTTATTGTTAGGCAAATAGATTTGTTGTTGTTCTTATTTTCACCTGTAGTTCTTTAATTATGAGTGAAGTTGAGCACTTTTGGCTGCTTGTATTTCTTTTTTAGTAAATTGTCTCTCCCTAGCGCTTGTCTACCTTTCCTACTTGGGTGTTCATCTTTTTCTTATTTGTTTTTAATAATGTTTTAAACATTAGGGAAATTTGTGTCTGCTTATTTTAAATATATGTACTATGAATTAGAAATGATCTCATGCTACCTGATTTCAAATGTTGAAGCAGTTTCTTCTTTACGACTCACCCTCCAAACTGAACTTCCTTCTGTGTGGCCCTGGCCTCTCCCAGGGGAGCCCTTCCATGGCCAGCTGCTCCCGGAGGGGAGGAGTCAGGAGGCGGGAGAAGAGAAGGAACGGACTGAGGAGAAGGAAGGCTTGCACGGTGGGGCACCAGAAATATTCACCTCGGAATCTACGCAGACCTTCTCAGCCAGGCGTCCAGATAGATTTTCTTCCCACTGGCCGGGCAATTTGGTGCTACCAGCACCACAGCCCCCACGACGAAGCCGAGATCACAACTGGAAACAGCTTGGGACCACGGAGTGCTCCACGACCTGTGGGAAAGGTGAGGTGTGGGCTGGCAGGGCCTCTGTGAACCAGGAGACAGGTGTGTGTGTGTTGGGGAGGCAGCGGGCAGGGGGCGGGGAGGGGCAGGGACATAAGCCTGGGCCTGCAATGGCTCACTAGTGTGAGGTTGTGTTGGGGGGTCTCCAGATCACCCTCAGGTTGGACTTATGAGACAGGAAAGCTGCTGTACTCGTGGTTACAACTTATTACAATGAAAAAAAATATAGGTTAGAATTGGCAAAGGAAGACAGAAAGCTAGAGATAATTACACATCAAGGCCAAAACCTTTTTGGCGAGGACCATGACACGATAGAGGTAAGCAGTATGAAAGTTAATTGACACAGGAACCCAAGATCAAAATGTATTTTTACTGAAATAGTCTGCCATTTAGGTTATGGTGTGATGCCTGTTGCAGGAACCAGATACACTCAGAACCAGGTAGAAACAAGGGAAAGTTATAAAAAGGATAAAAATGGTTGTCATGTGGTTTTACATCGAGGGTGGCATGTGTAGATTCTCCTCCATTTCATGTCTTTAAAAATAGCCTGGCCCAGCCCGCCCAGGAGGGTGAGATGCGGCCCTCTCTGGAGATGGTCAGACATTGCTTTGTGGACATAAAGGATGAGGACAAAAGCATGTGCCATTAGCCAGCTTACCCTCATGCTGCTCATACAGCCTGTTCACCAGATGATGCCACTTACTCATCCAGGAGGCGATTCAGCAGGTCCCGTCTGTTCTGTACCAGATGTGATGCTGGGACCTGCATCTAAAGGTTCTGCTTATCTTGTCCCCCTCAACACCACTCCAGTCTTCATGGTTCACGCTGAAATAAAATCTACCACCCTTACTGTTCTCTGGTATCTGGCGGGCACTCTCCTGCTTGCACTTCACCATCTAGCTCGGACATCACCTCCTCTGTGAAGCCTGCCTGATTCTGTAAGGCAGAGGTAGGCACTTCTTCCCTGGACCCCATGGCAATTTGGGACACAGTTCTTTTTGTCCCAGCTCTGCTTGGCTTGGCTGTCTCCATGAGTGTACACTTTGCAACTTCTAAAGCTGGTATCATACCAAGCACACAGTAGGTGCTCCTCAAGTGCTTCTTTTTTAAAAAAAAATTTTTAATTAAATCTTTATTGTTCAGATTATTACATTTGTTCCTCTTTTTCCCCCATAACTCCCCTCCACCCAGTTCCCACCCCACCCTCCGCCCTCACTTCCCACCCACTGTCCTCATCCATAGGTGTACGATTTTTGTCCAGTCTCTTCCCGCATCCCCCACACCCCTTTCCCCCGCAAGAATAGTCAGTCCATTCCCTTTCTATGTCCCTGATTCTATTATAATCACCAGTTCATTCTATTCATCAGATTATTTATTCACTTGATTTTTAGATTCACTTGTTGATAGATGTGTATTTGTTGTTCATAATTTGTATCTTTACCTTTTTCTTTTTCTTCCTCTTCTTAAAGGATACCTTTCAGCATTTCATATAATACTGGTTTGGTGGTGATGAACTCCTTTAGCTTTTTCTTATCTGTGAAGCTCTTTATCTGACCTTCAATTCTGAATGATAGCTTTGCTGGATAAAGTAATCTTGGTTGTAGGTTCTTGGTATTCATCACTTTGAATATTTCTTGCCACTCCCTTCTGGCCTGCAAAGTTTCTGTTGAGCAATCAGCTGACAGTCGTATGGGTACTTCCTTGTAGGTAACTGACTTTCTTTCTCTTGCTGCTTTTAAGATTCTCTCTTTGTCTTTTGCTCTTGGCATTTTAATTATGATGTGTCTTGGTGTGGTCCTCTTTGGATTCCTTTTGTTTGGGGGTCTCTGTGCATCCTAGACTTGTAAGTCTATTTCTTTCACCAGGTAGGGGAAGTTTTCTGTCATTATTTCTTCAAATAGGTTTTCAATATCTTGCTCTCTCTCTTCTTCTGGCACCCCTATAATTCGGATGTTGGTACGCTTGAAGCTGTCCCAGAGGCTCCTTACACTATCTTCGTATTTTCGGATTCTTTTTTCATTTTGCTTTTCCGGTTGGGTGTTTTTTGCTTCTTCGTATTTCAAATCTTTGACTTGATTCTTACAATCCTCTGGTCTGCTGTTGGGAGTCTGTATAATATTCTTTATTTTAGTCAGTGTATGCTTAATTTCTAGTTGGTCCTTTATCACAACATCGAGGGTCTCACTAGATTTCTTGAGGGTCTCATTGAGTTTATCGGCGGTTTCTAGAAAATTCTTGAAAAACCTTAAAAGTGTGGTTTTGAACTCTATATCCAGTAGTTTGCTTTCCTCCATTTCTGTCATTTGTGTCCTGTTTCTTTGTCTCGGCATTTTTTTATGCTTCACTGTGTCGATAGAGTGGCTTTCTGTGCTAGGTGTCCTATAGGGCCCAGTGGCTCAGCCTCCCCAATTACCTGAGGTAGACACTCTTGGTGCACCCCCTTGTGGGCTTTGTGCATAGTCTTGTTCTCAAGTGCTTCTTGAATGAATAGCTATATATCTAAATATCAGCTATTAGAAAAGATATAAGGGTAGCATTTACATCTTCATTGCATCCTGGATATACAAATCTGTTATTGCCTTTGCCCATGTTCTATCAGTAACATAAAGAATGTGGATTTATGTATTCAAAACTGAAGAAGCTCTTTCTCTAGATTTCCATATTATTATTATTATTAATAATATATTTTATTGATTTTTTACAGAGAGGAAGTGGGAGAGAGAGTTAGAAACATCGATGAGAGAGAAACATCGATCAGCTGCCTCTAGCACACCCACTGCTGGGGATGTACCTGCAACCAAGGTACATGCCCTTGACTTGAATCAAACCTGGGACCCTTCAGTCCACAGGCTGACGATCTATCCACTGAGCCAAACCAGTTAGGGCTCCATATTATTTTTATTCATGTTCTGAGATAGTCTTTCTCCTTTGCATTGTGGGGACACACACACTTCACCTACGCACTCAGTGCCTAACATGACATGCTCACTCATCCTCTTTATCCTGGTAAACTGCACTGATTCTCAGGCCAAAGAGCTGCTGAAGAAGTGTCTTGGAAATAGAAGAAAAACAGAGATGTCTTATTCCTCTAAAACTCCCTTCTTGCCTCCCCCTAGCCCCCTTTTTTCTCCCATGTGACAAATGGCAGTAGCCCATGGATGGCCCTCCTTTGCTCCCTTGAAGGTTTGCTCCCAGACATCAAAAGCCTTAGTCAAAGGTGAAGGGCAGGTGAGGCCCTGTGAATGCACCAAACGCTTAGCTCATCTCACAGACATCAGCAGTAGTGATAAGAGTGTCGTGACAAGAAAGTCTGAGCCTGCCAGTGCTGTCCAGCTCTTTTCTGGACAACCCAACTCCATTCCCCTTGTGACCTCATCATTTGTCCCCACACTGACCCTCTCCCAAACTCTTCTCCAGCCCTTCACACATTTCTATGCTGTCACATTAAAATTTCCCTTTCTGTAAATGTGAGCATCATGACATCATCATCATCGCAGAAGGGGCCCTGTCACGGGCATTCAGGTGTGGCCTGTACTCCATCCAGTCATTACTAAGACCTCTATCTGGTCAAACTCTTGGCCTGATTGGTTGGTACCTGGAGTTCCACACTGGAGTTATTTATTTTCTTCTTGCTCCTTATTTTGTCCATCTCTCCATAATGCCTTACTGACCTCTGCCTGTGGTACAGTGCCCTGTCCAACTTAATGTACTTCTGTTTTGATCAATACATCCAACATATAACCCAACCAAACTGATCCCAGGTTCTTCCTGCTGCCTGAAGCCCAGTCAGCACCTGACCTCACCACCCTGTTCCTGCTTGAATGGCATGCTGGAACAGTGAAGAGATGGGCAGGTTTCTCCCTTTCTGCAGAGATCAAAATTGACCCAAAGAAAGAAACCATCGTGGTCACTGGAGTCAAGAATTATAGATCTGGTATTTTCTCAACATCAGAGAAAGAGGGAGAGCCTCCGACTTTATTTCCTCGGCTAAACGTTGGAGCTGGACCATGGACAAGTGTACTGTAAAGGTGGTGAGAGGGTCGGGGAGGGCAGCCGAGGCCATGTGCAAACAGCCCAAGCAGGACACCTCTTTGCAAGACACAGAGCATTCCTATGGTAGTCCATATCCTTTTTCCTAGAAATACTAAATCTCCCTCTCACTTGAATTCCAAGTGGTTGGGGTAGTTACTATTTTCAACCCACAAACTTGTAAGTAGAAAAGTAAAATTCAAGTGGTCTGAAGGGAAAGGGATAGGCTACAAAATAAGACTTTTACTTAATCCCTTAATAGCTGAGTCCCAATGGATACCCTTAAAGCCATGCACTGAATCTATGCACCTTTTAACTGAGAACAACGTGCTGAATGTTTGTTCACTTTAATTGAAGATCCTTCTTAAATGGAAGCAGATATATCGCTGGACCAAACTTAATTCCGCAAAAGTTTTTGCTTCCTATTAATTTTACAATCAGTACTGCTTTTTGCTCAGCTAATAACGATGCTTAATTGGAATGTTATTATAAATAATGGTCTCAAGTTATAGCCACATTGTAAATTTTTACTGCCAGAGTACTTTAAGCGAGTGTGTGTTTCAGATTCAAAACTGTCTTACAAACTGTCCAGTTTTTTACAAAACTACCCTCTGGCTCAATGTCACACAAGACCAGCTTAAAGAGGCAGTGAACCACTGCTCATGGCTGATGAAATATTGAGACACATATTAAAAATTATTCCTCTAACTACAATTAAAATTGTAGCAAGCTGGCAGTTCAGAAACTGTAAATGCCTGGCCACTCGCAGCAGAGCCGAGACAGCGCTATAGAATAAGGCTAGTGCTCTGGGGGCAGGAACTGTGGTGGCCTCGCCTGGGATGTGGTCAGCTCTTTGTGAGAAGCCTCCCGCTCTCCCAGCAGTTGGGGTGCGGGTTCAGCTGGTCACATTTCTCACTTTGTAAACTTTCCTTCTTGATACTTCAGTGCTGCCACCAGGGGGTAGCAAAGAGAGGAAGGCAGAATTGCGAATTGGCAGGTTTTTTAGTTGTTTTGAGAGCTAGAAATTCCACTTAACAAATTCTTTTTTCCCAAAAATAGATTTATAAATTTTAAGACAATGAAACTAGGCTGTGTAGGTGTGTGTTTTTAATACAAAAATCTGAGGCAGTTGGTATGATTTTTTAAGCAAAGTAGTAAAAATAAATATTAGACTGCTAACAAATATTCATTCAACAAACTTTCATTGGACACCTACTACTCTGCTGGGTACTGGGGATACAGAGATGCCCAGAACTAGTGCTGTCCCTCAGAAGCTCACTGTCTCATGGAAGCAGACATATACTCTTAAATAAATAAAATACCACTGGACCAGGACATTAGAGTAAAGTGTCAAATGCTTTACATAGGGGAAGCCAGCTGTGCTTCTAGTTCTTCTTGAATCTTCTTATTTCTCTGCTCCAGCCTAACTATCTCTTAAACATATCTGGTGCTTGCAGGCCAGTTTGTCGGGCACTTTTGTTCTAGCTCAGCGACTTGGACAGCTCCCGCCCTTCAAGACCCAGGTGCAAACAGGTTCCCCACCGAACCCTTTCTCTGGGATGCAGCTGGAGCCCTCTCAGGCCCTTTCGCTTTGATGGCTCCAGAAAACCTTCAAGAAGTTATCGTTTGTGCTTATTTTATAATCTCTCCTCGGCACAGTGATATAAAAAACTATTATGGAAATTGGTTTATATCTGCCTTTGAGCATTTCAAACCATGTTCACCAATAGACTGTAAGCTCTTTGAGGGCAAGAACGATTCCTACTTTCCTCTGCACCCACAATGCTGAGCAAAGCCCTTGCGTGGGAATGTGCGTGTGGATTGTTCTGTTTCTGTCGCCTCTTCATCAGCACTTGGGTCTTTGTGCATCTCCACCACAGACCAACATTCAGGTGTGCGGACTGCCCTTCAGACGTTGTCCTTGTCTTTCTAGGATCGCAGTACCCCATTTTTCGCTGTGTGCACAGAAACACTCATGAAGAGGTTCCCGAGAGCTACTGTGACTCCAGCACGAAGCCGACCCCCGAGGAGGAGCCCTGCAGCATCTTCCCTTGCCCAGCCTTGTAAGACGCCCTCTCTGCTTCCATCCCCATTATCATGTCTCTTCTGGTTGCTTGTGCGTAGGACCTTGGTAGCAGATATAATCTCATTTTTAAATCAGTCTACATCTGATTTAGAAACATGAGACTTGGTCTTTGCATAAGATGCAGTCTGTTTAGCAAGAGCACCTGTCTTTCAGGATCAACACAGGAGTCTGTAGCCTTTAGCAGGTCAGCACACTCCCAGGAGCCCACCCTTTTGGGAATTAGAGCAATTAGGGTTTTGCCTGACAAGGAAAACAGAGGGAAACAATGAACTACAATCCAGTGTAGTCAGTGCCGGAGGAGAGCTGTGTACAGAGAGAATAATGAAAGGCACACCACATCTGCCTGGAGAAACCAGAAAGAGCCCCTCAGAGAAGCCTTGGACTGGTTCCTGAATGACACATAGGACACTTTCAGGAGAACATGGGGAAAGGGCCCAAAAGGTGTCGAAACTTAATTCTCAAAGTAATAAAAACATATTCTCATCTGAACACCTGATGAGCAGGGTGGCACAAGGAGGAAATATGAGACTGATGCGTAAATAGTTCATGAAAAATAAAGAATGCTGGGCTCAGATTTCTAATTTAGTTCCAAAATGGGTTAATGTCCTACAAGGTAATGAAACTAGCTTTGGAGTTTGTTTATGTGGGGTTTTCTACTAGATACATTTGTACCTTCTCAATTTTCTTAAGTTGCATATACTCACTGGCAAATAGCATGTGGGACAAACCTAATTTCTTTACAGAGTCGGTGGCCCATAGGTAGACTGGTAAGCAATGCCCTGGGAGCCGGGTCACCCACGAGGATTCTGATGGTTCTGTGTAAGGCAGCTCAGCGCCTGCCCTCTTCCTGCTGACTGAAGCGATCTGTCCCTGCCCTCTTCCTGCTGACTGAAGCGATCTGTCCCTGCCCCTCTCTCCTTCCTGAGCCAGCTGGGACATCGGGGAGTGGTCCGAGTGCAGCAAAACCTGCGGCCTGGGCATGCAGCATCGCCAGGTTCTGTGCCGCCAGGTGTACGCCAACCGGAGCCTGACGGTGCAGCCCTACCGCTGCCAGCACCTGGAGAAGCCCGAGACCACCAGCACCTGCCAGCTCAAGATCTGCAGTGAGTGGCAGATCCGGACGGACTGGACCTCGGTACGTGGAGGGGGGGCCCTGCTCTGGAGCACCCCCTCCAAGGCCCACACTTCCCTCCTGCCTCCCCCTCCAAGACCTGACTTGGAAGGACCCTGAGTCCCCCAGGAGAGAACCTGTCCACGGGCTCTGGGCGGCCACCTTTATAAACCATAGCATGTGCCATAGCTCGATAGAGTTAAAGCCAGCGTGTCACCACGGCCGACTCGACTGGAGAGCCCAGGGGAGCCCAGGGGAGCCATGTGCAAAAGCTCGTCATGGTGGAGGGAAGGTTGGCAAATTCTGGTAGAGTCGTCTCCTCCCCATCTTCTCTCCCATTCTCTAGATGACAGAACAGGCTCAGATGGACAGAGCAGGCAAGATATCAAAGAAGGTCTTAGCGAAAGGGCCTGTGAAATGATCAGGGCTGGGATTCTCCTGAGGTAGCATTGCATGTGGGGGACCTAGCAACTCGGGGAGTCTCCCCAGCCCTCTGCTTAGGGGGCAGGTGACAAGAGGGCGCTCAAGCTGATGCTGCCCGCCTGCTGACAGCTTGCTGTGTTGCAGTGCTCCGTGCCCTGTGGAGTGGGGCAGAGGACCCGGGACGTGAAGTGTGTGAGCAACATCGGGGACGTGGTTGACGACGAGGAATGCAACATGAAGCTCCGGCCCAATGACGTTGAGAACTGCGACATGGGGCCCTGTGCGAGGAGCTGGTTCCTCACCGAGTGGGGTGAGAGGGTGAGTGTGGTGGCAGCGGAGTGGGGCTCCTGGAGGGGGGAGGGGAGTCTGCTGGGCTAAGTGTGGGAGTGGGTGTCACAAGGTGCCCCCAAAAACATACAAAGATGAATTACTAGCCCAGAATCCCAAGGGTAATTTCTGACTCGGGGGAAAGGCCCATAAATGAACTACTGCAGGCTTTCTATCCTGTGAATCTCCACGGTGCTTCCAAGTATCGGTGCCTCTGGATCACCGGGCACCTTGTTACACAGAATCTGGTCAGCCGGGGTGGGCTGACCCGGATCCTGCATTTCTAAGGAGCTCCCGATGGTGCCAAGGCTGCAGGTCTTAGGAGGTACCCTGAGCTCCCAAGCCTTCCCCCCAGTGCCATGTGAGCCACAGACAGTGCAGTATGTCCAGCTGGGAGGAGTAAGGGGCACATCAGAGGATGGGGGCCATCCACCCTGTTGGTTGATTCCAGCTGGTCAGCATCCACTCTGACTGGTCAGTGCTCACTGTGGACCAGTTGCTGAGTATTCTGGACATCACCCTGCAGGTGTTCACATGGGTTTCCTTCACAGCCTCCCTCTCAGCACAATAAAACAATCCATGCCCCACGCCATGGGGGTGCTGCTGGGAAGGAAAGGAAGAACAAACCTGTAAATGCAGCCTTCACTCCACATTCAGAGATCCCCCCAGAGATTCCCATCAGGTGGTTTATCTCCTCGTGGCAAACAGCCCCTGCCCCTTAGCCCCAAGACAGTCCCCAGAGAGAGAGGGCCTTTAGCGAAAGCACTGAGCCCTTAGGGTGAGCAGCTCACTGTGCCTCCAGGCCCAGCCCTGGACTCTAACACACCAAATTAGCCATCAGGAAGGTGCTAACCAAAGGTGTCCATTGACTCAGACCTCTGCCCCTAAGGCTGAGTCCAGCAGAGCTGCAGGGTTCTGTTTGCGTACCCTGCCCCCCCCCCCTGCTTCCCCTCCCAGCAAGCACATGGCTCCTGGCCTTGCGGACGCAGTGCTGGGGGGTGTCAGGGGTCACTTTGAGCACCTCCCTTGCAGCATAAGGAGTCCTTGACAGCGTCCCTGACATAAGTCTGATCCCTTTGTCAGAAATTCCCTGTGTGTTGAACCAATGACATCAGCTTCTTGTACAACCCAGTGTCAGGTTTCCTTCCTCATTGAACCCAAGTTTTTCTCGCCAGCTCCCAGCATGCCCTGTCAGAAGTGCGTGTGTGCACTGTCCTTACACTGCAGACCAAAGGTGCTGGGGAGCCCCTCCCACTCTTTCTCCAGGCTAAACATTCCCACTTCCTCCAACTGATTTTGTCTTTCCAGATTTCTAGCCAGAATTTGTTTGTACTCACAATAAACCTGCCTAATTTAGTGTATAAGCAAATTAATGAAAACAATGCTACTGGGCCTTCTTTTTATATTGGAAAGATGTTTTTGAAAATAGTTCATTTTTCTGCTCATACAGTAATATAAACTATTATAAAGAATATGAAAAGAATCTCAAAGTATACCTATAATCTCTTCAATCTAACAATTTAAGACTTTTAAGCTCTACTGACAAGCTTTTTTCAACTCATACATACTTTGCATACATAGTATTTATATATATATCTTAAAGATATAATAATATATGTATAATTTGTTAACCTGATTTTTTCACTTTTGTATTGTAAACATCTTAATGGGATTAAAAACATTAAAAGCATGTTTTTTAATTAGAATAAGATATTGTATGATTATTATAATTGAACTAATAATGCCCTATTTCTAAATGATTGAGGATATTTTTTGCTAATTTTTTTACTATTTTTAATAATATTTCTGTAAATATTCTTTTTTTATTGATTTCAGAGAGGAAGGGAGAGTGAGAGAGAAAGAAACATTAATGATTAGAAAGAATCATTGATTGGTTGCCTCCTGCATGCCCCACACTGGAAATCAAGCATGAAACCCGGGCGTGTGCCCTGACCAGGAATGGAACCATGACCTTCTGGTTCATAGGTCAACGCTCAACCACTGAGCTCAGTAAATATTCTTATGTATAAATCTTTATATGCACTTTTCTTTGTTTTCCTAAAATAATGTTTAGGAAGTATAATTATTTGACCAAATGCTGTGAACTCCTTTAGAACTCTTGACATATTTTGGCAAATTTCTCTCCAGAGGATTATTTCAATTTAGACTCTCCCAAGCAGCAACTGAGATCGCTTTTATAATTCTTTTATTTCACTTATTCTTTACCGTTTTTAATTCCATCTCTCTACATTTGCCATGCTTTGAAAAAAGCAATGGGCTCAGAATGACCTGTGTACAAAGAAAAAAGCAACTATGTGGAGGAAAACTGCAATGTTTCATTCCTCTGTGTGTCTCCCATATTTCCTTAGAACAGTAAAACTCTACAAGTAAATTTACACACTAGCTATTTTCCCTCCAATAAAGACTCTCTGCTTTGTATTTTAAGTAAGTACTTGTTGGATCTAACCCTTGTCTTAGAATTCCAAATACAGCAAAGAATGAGCACTTTATTCTTCCATTTAGAGAACTTCTTTGGAAAAGATGTGTTAAGCCATGTAAGTGTCCTATGCATGATATAAGTAAGTTTGCTTTATCGATCCCCAAAATAGATCATTGTTCCTGATTATTTTGAGTAGATGAGTGGGAAGGGGTGCTATTGTGTTTAAGGAGGGGAATTGCTGTTGGCACCCTTTCCTCAGGAATTATTTCTTATGAGACCCTGAGCAAGCTGCTGGCTCCCTGCCTCTCGGTTTCCTCCTCTGTCACATTGCTGAGTGAGCATGAGGGAATAACCTTTGAAACTATGACCTAGATGAGACTGGCATGCCAGGAGCGTTTCCTGTGGGCTGCTTTCTTCTTCTTGTCAACATAAAGCCTCCATCAAAACCCAAACTGATGGGGTTCTAAGAGCCTGGGGTTAGTGGACACATGGAGATGGGGGAGAGTGATGAATCTGGAGAGGGCATGGAGGCTCGGCACCCCTTCCCACATGCCTTTTCCTGTGCTTCTCTTCCGTCTGGCTGGTCCTGGGTTACATCTTTGTATAATAAACTGGCAAAATGTTTCTCTGAGTTCTGTGAGCTGCTGTAGCAAAGCAATCAAACTGAGAAGAAGAGCCTTAGGACCCTTGGATTTTTAGCCAGTTGGTCAGAAGTACAGGTAAGAAACTGGACTTGGGATTGGCTGCTGAAGTTGGGGGTGGGCAGTCACCTGTGGAGTCTAATGCCATCTCCAGGTAGTGTCAGAGTGGAGTTGAATGGCAGGACATCCAGCTGGTGTCAGAAAATGGCTTGATGGTGTGGGGACCCCGCACACACATTGAAATTGGCACCAGAATACCAAGAGTAGCCTGTTTTCCGATTTAAAATTAATTGGTCTCTGCCTAAATAAATCGAGATTGTAAACTCAATCTGAACCTTCTCTTAAACATCTAGGGCCGTGATCGGCAAACTGCGGCTCTTTGGCCCCTTGAGTGTGGCTTAGGAGTACCCTAATTAAGTTAATAACAATGTACCTACCTATATAGTTTAAGTTTAAAAAATTTGGCTCTCAAAAGAAATTTCAATCGTTGTACTGTTGATATTTGGCTCTGTTGACTAATGAGTTTGCCGACCACTGGTCTAGGGTAATATGTATAGTTTTGCTGACTTGATGACTCACCTTAAAAACATCCTTGCAGCTACTTTTTAAAAATTTATTTTTATTGTTGAAAGTATTACAGATGTTCCCCTTTCTCCCTATTAACCCCCTCCAGCCCGCACCAGCCCCCACCCAGGCCTTCACCACATGCCTGTGTCCATGGGTTATGCATATATGGATATTAAAAGTAGCTGAAGAACTTTTAATTGAGGGTGGGGCTTATTAGATTCAGGCTTCATTTACTTTTTAGTTCTGCAAATCAATGGCAGGTTTAAAAATTTGTGCGATTTTTAATCACAACAGAGAAAAAAGTCTTTTAGAAAGTCCACCAGCCTCAATTTTCTAGCACCTAATTTCTAAGTATGTTTTCCAAGAGAAGAAATAAGTAAAGATATTGAGTTATTTAAATTGTGAAAGATGATGCATAAAACTGAAGTTCAGGAATAGTCATTAGAACCGTATAGTCCCTCAGGGGCCACTCGGCCAAGTTTAGCATTTAGCTGTTGCTGGGGTGAGAAGACAATCCCTACCAGAGGGTTGCCTAGGAATTTCATGTGTCTCGGTGCTTTATCTGTCCAGAAGTTCATTTCAGAGTCAGGTTCTTTTCTGAAGTGGACTTGGTCCTTCTTTTAGGCACATCCTTCAGGGACAGTGCATGGGGGTGTTTCGGTGCCTCACTTTGAAGGTTAGTCTCTGCTGCCTGGAGGGGACCCCTCCCTCCTCTCATTTCTACTGCTAGGCTTCCCTGGCCAGGTTCTGTGTCAGTAGCTCCTTTTACATATAAATTGGTTGTGCTTTTCACTGCAGCCTCCGCAGGGCTCATCCTTGTGATGTTCTCTCACAGGGCATTGACTTGGTCCTTAACATTATTCTTTTCAATTAAGTGCACAGGGATATGGGGAAACTTTCCCAAAATGCATGTGGTTTTTCCAAGATTACTTAGTTTGGAAAGCAGATTTCTAATAACAACGCAGTGAAAACGAAAATCGTGAAAAGCATTTGTGAACCTGTAAGGGGAAACAACTTTTCCTTTACTCTCTTAGGTTCTTTAGCGGAGGGCTGCAGATTAAGCCGACAGTGACCAGATTCACAGGAGAAAAGCATACAAATCGTATCTGATGTTATTGTTTTTATATGGCGTGGGGGATAGGGAGAAGGGGACTTCACAGGAAAGAAATGAAAACCCCAGAGAAGCAGTTAGACTTGAGGGATTGTGTAACATCTTAACAAAGGCTGATAAGTTGTGAAGTGACTAGACAAAGGAAAGGGGTTTGGGCTTCTGGGAATAGTAAATTGTAGGAAAATGGCTAAGAAATATATGGGGGAAACTAATGGAAGATAAGGGTTATAGTAAAGTTTGCTTATACAAACTCATCTTGATTCCCCATCATCCATAAGAATGTTCTCTTCTTCCTGGAACTGGGAGGGCACCTTTCTCAGGGTATGTATGCCCTGCTTCTAGGCCAGGAAGGGGAGGGCAGAGAGCGCCTCCTGCATCTGCTGTTTCTTAATTGCCAGGAGCTCAAAATAATCAACAGGCCAAAACAAATCAACAGCATATTCGGGGGCATGTTCTAACCAGCTCTGAGTTCTTAGCTCCAGCGTTCCCTCCCTGAGGAGTCAGACTCAGCTCAGCAGTCAGTGATCATGAAAATGTTTGATACTCATCCTGGGTTATGATTTTACAAGATTAGACAGCAAGTTACAAAAACAAAAGTAGGATTTTTGATAAAGAAATGAGGTTGTTAGTATTTTTCTTCCTTTTCTCAAATTTTATTTAAAGTTATATTGCTTTTATTTACTTTTAAGATGATAATGTTGGTAGAAACCAAACACTGACTCTATTTTTAAGAAAAGACCCAGCAGAAATCCCTAGAAGGGCTTTGGTCATCATGTTACGGCACTTTCAGAATTGGAAGGTGCTGATGAGAGGAGAAAAATGAGCGGGGGAGGACCCCCATCATATTTATTTATTCAGCCGATATTCAGGGATTCACCCATAGGTAAGGTGCTCACTGAGAATGAAATAAAGGTGATGGAGGCACTGAGCCTACTTCTATAATGGGGGGGAAAAAAAATGGACACAAATAACCATAATACAAAGGATGACAGAAGAATACAGATGTGTCAGAGCACAGCTGCACTGAGTCCACATATTCTTCTGAAACCAGCCCTACTACACTAACTGTGGGGGCTGAGCCCCTCTGCGAGGGGCTGGACCTTCTTGAACGCCAGGTGGTAGAAGGAAAGGCCATGAGAAGTTGTGGGTGTATAAGAATGAGTCTCTAGTGTAGGAGCCAGTGGCCATTGCTAATAAGGAGCCATCAAACAAAACAATTGTTCACAGTAGTCCCATACAGGCAGCCATGCACCAGCTGCTAACAATGCATCTTTCCCACAAAGCAGTAGTAGCCTCTGTACCCACAGCCTTACATAGCAGCAGCACCTGAGCTCTCTCTGTCCCAGGAGCCTCTCTAGCACAGCAGCAGCACCTGAGCTCTGAGCTCTCCTAAGTAGCCTCAGCAGCTTCTCCCTACCACACGAGATGGCCAGTAACATGTATTATACTACTTAGACGAAGGAGGCTTCTTGCCAAATAGTGACCTTGCTGTGCACTGGCATAGTCCTTGGACACCCCGATTAAGATTCCCATGCTCAGAGTGGCCTTGGCCATCTGGCGTACTCTAAACAAGGCCTTTCACACTCCAATTGGTCTTGAGCATCCGGCGGACTCTGGCATGGTTCCCACAAGATGTCATGGGAATTCTGAGGATGGGAAGGATATATTGAACTGGGAAATCAGGGAAGCTTTCACAGAGGAGATGGCACTTGAGCTGAACCTGAACAGATTTTGAGTGTCCCAGGGAAGGGCAAGAGTGCTCCAGACAGAAGGAACAGCAGGGACAAAGTGCTGGGAACATTTCATGTGGCCAGGGAACAGTGAACCTTGGCTCTGTCCAGGATAGTCAGTGGTTTTCATATATTACATCTAACTATTTGGCCCCTATGATTGTTTTAGAAGTTCATATGGTGATAATGTGGAAACCGCTATCAAGAAAATCAATGTGGCCCAGCTGATGTGGTTCAGTAGTTGAGCATCGACCTATGAACCAGGAGATCACAGTTCAATTCCCAGTCAGGACACATGCCCGGGTGGTGGGCTCTATCCCCAATGTAGAGCATGCAGGAGGCAACCGATCAATGATTCTCTTTCATCACTGATGTTTCTTTGGCCTTTCTCTCCCTCTCCCTTCCTCTATGAAATCAATTTAAAATATATATATATACATATATTTTTTTTTAAAGAAAAACAGTGTGTTCCCAGTGTAGTCTAGAAGAATGGAAACCTTTAATGCCATTTAGGGGCAGTCCATAGTGAATGTCATTAGGAATGGACCAGCAACAGAGGGATTTCAACATGGATATACCAGAATCTGGCAGCCCAGTGACAAGAAGAGCTGGTGAAGCTGAGCGAGAAGCTGTGGCCACAGTCCGGGAGAAGAATGTCAGGGTGCTGGGAACCACCCAAAGCAGGGACAAGACAGACAAATGTGCTTAAACTAGAATCGATGAGACCTGCTAGCTGGCGAGATATGGGAAACCAGGAGGCCAAAGAGCAGTCGGTTTTGAATCCAGATATGCATTTGAATACACATTGGAAAACCCAGAGGAGGAATGGGAATGGTGATGAAGGTGGTATCCCATCATTTCACCTGTTGGACATGAGGTATCGATGGGACACCCACATGAAGATGCCCTGAAAATACAGGATGAGAAGCAAAAAAAGGCAGCATTCCAAAGTATTTCAAGGCAGATGGGAAATGCTCTCAGAGCTTCAGGGTGTGACTCGGGGGAGTGTTTACTGTGTCCTGGGTGAGGACAGAGTGAGATTGTAGTAATGACAGTTATGTGGCTTTAAGTGAAGGCTTAATCCTGTGAGCTTTGGTTTCTCTTAGAGTAGAGATGTAGGTCTCGGCCCTTTAAAGCCCCGCATACCATTATTGAGTACCTACTGCATGGGTTCATTGAGCACCTGCTCTCTACATGTCATTCATTCCCTGAAATGCTGCCAGGACTGTGTTCCCATGCCCACGGTCCAGGTAAGCATGCCAGAAGTGAGAGGCTCAGGTCACTTGCCCCAGGCCACACAACTGGTAGTGATATTAACACCAATATGACCGGTTCCCAGTCCAGGCTCTCTTTATACCAGGCTGCCTCCTGGTACACCATCACAGCTGTGCCCTTCAGGGACTACAACCATGTGCCTTAATATTAGGCAGCATTGTTGAGGTGACAGATGCCAGTTCTCCTCCTTCCTCAGACCAGCCCAGACTCACTACCAGTATGCAGACGTGTGCCCCCGTTTTCATGCTCTTCTTCTGCTGAATATGTTTTTGAAATCCAAAGCCAGAACAGATAGATTGACAAGTGTAAGCATATCAATCGCAACAATGGAATGAAGACTGTCCCAGAAAATCTAAGGCCAGGAGATATGCCATACTCATGTCCCATGATGGAGCAGGCCGTGCATGAGAAGTGGTCAGACATTTCCAGGGCAAACAGTTGGTGGGGAAACCTCCTTGGAATCATTTGAATGTGGCTTAAGAACCTGGGGGGAGAGGCCTCCCCTCTACTGTGTCCATCTTCTGTCTCACAGTGTTCAGCGGAGTGCGGGGCTGGAGTGCGGACACGCTCGGTGGTGTGCATGACCAACCACATCAGCAGCCTGCCTCTGGAGGGCTGTGGGAACAACCGGCCGGCAGAGGCCACTCCGTGTGACAACGGGCCCTGCATGGGCAAGGTGGAGTGGTTTGCTGGGAGCTGGAGTCAGGTGAGTGGCCAGAACTGGGTGTGTCTGCCTGTCCCTGGAAGAGGCAGCATAGCAGAGGGGTTAGGAACTGGACCTGGTATGTCTAGGTTTGAATCCCAGCTGTGTTACCCATGACCCTGAAGAAGTTGCTTATGCTCTTGGAGCCTCATTCAGTCAACACTATTTATTGAGCATTTATTATGTTCTCTTCTAAGCACTTGAACACAATAAATATTCCTGCCCTCAGGGAAACTCATGGTGTAGCATGGTTTCTTTGTCTATAAAATGATAGTAGCAACAGCACCTTAGAGATTATTTTTAGAAGAAATGAAGTAATGTTTTTTAAGTATGTAGCACAATGCCTGAAATACAATAAATGTACAATAAACCACAGCTACTGCTGCTATCATTGTTAATAAAGCCAGTTTTTTCTGAATATGAGTGTCAGAAGCAGAAATAAATATGACCCAGAAATCCTATATCTGGATATGAGATCATTATCTCAAAGATATATCTGCATGCACTTTTATGCTCAAAGCAGCATTATTCACAATAGCCAAGGTATGGAAACAACCTATGTATGTGTCCACCAACAGATGGATGGATAAGAAAATATGAATAGGAATATTATTCAGCTTTTTAAAAAAGGGAAATCCTGCCCTTTACAACAATATGGATGAACCTGGAGGGTATTATGCTAAGTGAAATAAGTCAGACAAAGACAAATACTGCATGGTATCAATTATATGTGGAATTTTTAAAAAACAAACTGATAGAGGGTAGAATGGTGATTTCCAGGGGTTGGAGTGGAGGAAGTGGGAAGAGGTTGGTAAAACTTTTACTAGATGAATGAGGTCTAAAGTTCTAATGTATATCATGGTGACTATAGTTCATAACACTGTACTGTATAACTGAAATTTGCTAAGACAGTAGAACTTAAGTGTTCACACAGAAAAGAAAGGTAAAGTATGTGTTAAATCAATGTGAGAATCCTTTAAAAATGTATACATATAAGAAATCATCAGTTTAAATATATTATAATTTTGTTTGTCAATTATACCTCAATAAAGCTGGAGAAATAAAGAAGCATAAAAAGAAAAAATTAAGGTTGTTCATTATAAAGAACTGAATATTTTAATAAAGTGACTTAATTGATCAATTAATGTTTTCCTTACTGTGCCAAAATTGAGCATGAACTCTCTTAGAAAATGTGGAAAATATCATTCCCTCCTATTTTTTTTGTTATGATTACCATCAGTATTTTGAGTTCTTGGACCACTTAGCATTTGGCTCCCAGAGCTGGCTGGTTCTCCAAGGACTTTTTGGCTGATGATCATGATTTACACATTATCAGGATCTCTGGCTCCATATAGAATTTTATTTATTTTACGTAGCTTTAAACATAGACCCTGAGAAAAATGGACTGCCTTTCCTTTGTAATTGATATAACCCCTTTGGAAAGTAATAAAAGTCAAGAACCATATAAATGTTCATTTGCCTTACCCCACTCCTGGGGATTCATTTTAAGGAAATAATTAATAGAAGAGAAAAGGCTTTTTGACAGAGATGTTCATGACAGCAGGGCAGTATATTATGGTATATCATAACTCCTTAAAATATTATGTGCAACAATGATAATTAGGAAGATGTGGAAAGTGCATTGATACAGTGGCAAGTGAAAAACAATATGAAAATCTTTGAATCCTATGATCTCAACCACTTCAAAACATAAATATACTAAAAATGTGCCAGATCAATAATGAACTAACATGTTATGATGAGTATTGTTACACACAGATGAGAAAGATCACATCCAGGGAAATCCCATGTTGGGTACATCATTAATACACACTGTACACACCAAATAGATAGAATACAGTCTGCCTGTGATGCTGGGATTGGACTTAACCTCCAGCACAAGAAGATTAACTAACATGGAAGAAAATAGGAAATACAAGCTAAGGAGGTTCCCTGGATGCCTATGAAGATGGCAGAAAAGAAGGCACAAAGCAGAAATTGCCAATCTGGGTGCTTATTGTGCCCCATGTGACCAAGTCATAGTCTATTGGCTTGGATTTTTCCTTTTCTGTGGTCCCCCTGACCCCCATTTTTGTTTGACCATGTGCCTGCCTACAGAAGCAAGGCTAATGTTAAGAACTTTAGCTATAGACATTGTTAAATCTTTTCATAAAGGTAGTGGATTCTTTAAAGTCTCTGAAGGCCTATAAAACACAAGTTTTAAACTTTTTAATCAAGATATATTGAGTAAACCAAATGTGAATAAAAAACGCTTTACAAAGTAATAGATTTGTGCATAGTTATATGCATCATATTTCCATAAGCTAACAAAATGCATCAATGTATGTAATTGTCTGGCCTCTGTGCTCAGACCCCAGGGAAGTGAGAGGAATGGGCCCCATGGTGAAAGGCTTCCTGCTGGCCATGCTGTTGGGAAGGGAGGGTTGGCCATATTGTCCCAAGTCCAGAATCTTCTATTCAGTTTTGTATGTCTCAGTGAATTTTAACTTAGTCCTTCATGCACAAGTGTGCAGGCTCTGAGAGACTAATTCATCCCCAGTGTCTGCCCATTAAGGGACTAGCAGAAAATTAATGTGTTAGTTTATTGTCTTACAGTCAGGGGTCTGTAAGAGTCTCCTGGACAGAAACAAGCAAAGTGATTGCCTGGTGTGTTCCTGTAGGGGAGTCTAAGGGGAACCATTTCAGTCTCAGCACAGAGGACACCATGATCTCAGTGACCAATAGCCTGAAGCCATGATGACTCAGGACACCCATTCTCTGTCCCAGACACGGAACTGTTAGGAAAATTGGAATTCGTGGGCAACTGCTCTTCTAGAAACGTTTTCCAATGCCCTTGGGCTCTTCCTCACTGAATTGATGATAGAAAGCATGTGCAGACATACCCTGATGGACTGTCATTCTCATCTCCTTCCCGTGATGTGATACCATCTTTCTCTGCTTCCTTCTTTAGTGCTCCATAGAGTGTGGCAGTGGGACCCAACAGAGGGAGGTGATTTGTGTTAGGAAGAATGCAGACACCTTTGAAGTGCTGGACCCCTATGAATGTTCCTTCCTAGAGAAACCCCCCAGCCAACAGTCCTGCCACCTGAAGCCTTGTGGAGCCAAATGGTTTAACACAGAATGGAGCATGGTAAGTCAGGGTGCTCTTAGTAGAGATTGCTGCTTTTAGTGCATCATTCTCCTGCTTTCCTTCCATATGCACACCTGGGCCTCCTACTAGGTGCCAGGCACAGGGCTCAGCCCTCAAGTAGATTCCCTATAGTGATCTATCCAGTTGGTTACTGCCAGGGCACCCCAGATACAGTCTACTTGGGGAGTGGAGCCTGAGGCTGGGACAATCTTGATCTAAACTCGGAGCCATTAAGCACTGACTCTCAAGTGTCAGTATGCTTAAGAATCAGCTGGGGCCTTGTTAGAAAAAATGAATTCTGGGTCCACCAAGAGGAGTTTGCATTTTGAATAATCTCCTTAGGAGAGTTGGATGCAGGTGTCCTTGGACTGCATTTTGAGGAGTGCTGCTGCAGAGGATTCATGGCTGAAGGGATTCAAGGATGCCATTGAGAAACGGCATCATGAAGGAATTTCAGTAGGTCTCAGTAATAGAGTAAGACCCACACCAGTCAGGCCTCAGTGTGTGTGTGTGTGTGTGTGTGTGTGTGTGTGTGTGTGTGTGTGTGTGTACACTTGTTTAAAACTCAATAAACGATATGGGCTATGTATTATGGGACTGATCCTGTTTTTCTCTTTGAATTGACTCCTAGAAAACTCAAAGCTAAAATTGTGGTCCATCTCTAAGAGAGAATTTATCAGACCTTACAAAGGATCTTTCCTACTTTTATATTTCATTTAACCTCAGTTTCCCCAGATCATTTTACATTTTGTAACCTTCAAAGCATTTCTTAAGCCATCTCAGATCCTTTTTGTAAGGAGGAGGGTACTGTGTGAATGATGAGAGGCAGAGAGAGTCTGAGACAGAGAGGTAGAGTTAATACACAAATAGGTTACTAAGAATGAAGTGGAAAAGGATGGAAATAGTGATAAAACCCTTTTCTTTCTCCAAGTAAAAGAGTTTATTTTCAAGAAACATCCTAAAACAGAAAATGTCCTCAGGGCATCATTCCTGGTGACCAAATAACAGACCTTGGACTCATGGGGGTGGGGTTCATTCTGCTTTGTTTCACTGAAGATCTTCAAGCATGGCTGTGGGTGAGCCCATAGTAGAGGCCAGAGCCTTTCTCAAAATCATTCATAGGTGATAAAAAGGATTTTGCTTATAAAATATAGGAATAAAAGCTGAGAATTCTGTATCCAAACAGTGTGTGTTAGCTCCAGTGAGAACAGCCATTTGGCGTGTGGTGAACCATAGATCAGAGGCAAATGGGAACAAAAGTGGTGTTGAGTTTCGGAGGTATTTTGTCAACTTCTGGGAAATGGAATTTAATTATCTTGATGCTGGCCAAGGCCCTTGAGAACACAGGAACAGATCAGTATTTTCTTTTACTGTTTGGTTGGAAGAGTCTAAAAGGGCCAGATTCACCAGACCTATCAAAAAAGACAAATTGTGAAAACAACTGTCTGGAAACAACCCAAATGTCCCTCAACAGGTCAATGTGGTACCTCTGAACCACATATATTACTTAGCAACAAAAATGAATGAACTGTTGGTACCCAAACACCGTTGATGAACTTCAAATGCATTTTGCTAAATGACTCCCAAAGCTACAAATTTTACTATCCCATTTATATAATATTCTGTAAAAGGCAAAATTATAGGGACAGATACCAGGTCAGTGATTGCCAGAGGGTGGGGTGGGCTGAATCTCACCAGGGGATTTGTTGTGTGTGATGAAATTTTGACATAAATGATAATAACAAAGACTGTGATGGAACCCAGATGTCTTTGAAGATGCCTTGTTTTGTAAATTTGAGTTTATAACTGAGTCAACATTTTATATAATCTATATATATAAAAGTCTAAGTGACCATTAGGACCAAATGACTGGAACGACTAGTCGCTATGATGCGCACTGACCACCAGGGGTCAGACGCTCAACACAGGGGTTGCCCCTGGTGGTCAGTGCACTCCCACAGCAACCTCCCCCGGCCAGCCAACTTCCCATGGTCCCCCCGGCTGGCAGGCCCCAATTGCCCAATCGGGGCTGGGCCCCAGGCTGGGATGGGGAACCGGGGGTGAGTGGCGGCAGACGTGGCCCCTTTCCCAGGGGGACCAAGGGCTGGCTCCCTTCTCGGGGCTGGCAGCCAACCTCCTGTGCCCCGTCCCTCCCCCCGGCCAGCAGGCCCCAGTCGGCGCCCACCTGCTGCGGTGGCGGCCCGGCAGCGAGGGAAGGAGGAGGGTGGAGGTGGGGAACTGCAGCAGCAGTGTCCTTGTCTGGCTTCTGTTCCTTCCGTGCCCAGCCCAATAACCATCTCCTCCTCTCCCGACCCCACCAGGGCCTTCAGGCCCTGAGCTGGGACAGGAAACTGGGAGTGGGTGGCAGCGGATGTGGCCCCTTTCCCAGGGGGGCCAAGGATCAGTCCCACCCCAGACTGCTCAATGAGGCAAAAGCCAGTGGGACCCCAAGTGCCTGAAGCTGACACCTGCAGGACCAGCTCTGTGGGGGAAGGGAGTACAGCTCAGAACAAGGTCAATAGAGGTATGAGACTCAAGGCAGACCCAGCATCTGGGCTAAAGAGTCCCCAAACACTGGACTACTAGGGGATTGAACCTATTGGACCTCAATCAAGTTGCCCAGGGCCAGAAAGGGACAGTTACTCACATTCACCTACACTAGAGAAGCTCCCAGGAGGCCCAGAATAGACATACCAAAGGGACCATTCAACAACATCAGAGCAAAATCCAGCAAGCCCCACAAATAGGACCCAAAGCGCACCTGTTTAACAGCTGACACTACAACATTGGGGTTGAACCTCATGGGCAGCAAATCAGAGAGGAGACTCCTCCCATGAATGGGACATCAACAATCAAGTTTCAATTACAACAGGAGAGCCCAAAGAATGCAAAAAATGGTGCATTACTAGAGCTCAGGTGAACAAAGAGACTATACCCTCTACCTCTCAAGACACTTTCTACATAAGTCCATCCCACAAAGACTGGGAGGCATAGCAGTCCTATCTAATACATAGAAGCAAATACAAAGAGACAGCTAAAATGGGGAGGTAAAGAAACCACCCCAAAATGGGAGAAAAGAAGAAATCTCCAGAAAAAGAACTAAATGAAATTGAGGCAAGCAACCTATCAGACATACAGTTCAAAAAGCAATGGTTATAAAGATGCTTAAGGAA